AAGAGAGTGATAAAGGAGACAAGCAAAAGAAGTACTCGTGGAGTAAGAAGTAAGGATTTGAGGTAGGGGAATTTGGGGAATTAATTGATTGTCTTTGTTACTTGTATTTCGTGAAATATGGTTATGTGAACCTTGAGATATATCCAACTATTGACTTAGATGTGATTTGTTATGTGGTATATTATATGCTGGCATGATCATTATCATTTGTCAACGATGTAAAGGAGTTACTTATGTTGTGGGAAAATGTTGAGATTAGCTTTCGTGTAGTTGAGTCTGTTCATTGTGAAACTAGTTCCAGGCAAGCTCGATGTGCACAGTAGAATAGGATATCAACGGGAATTGTCGATGTGGGTGATTTGGGCTAGAGATCAATGAATCAGATAAGATGGCTAGCAAAAGGGGTTATGAACTTGGGTTAGTTGATGGTGGTTATTCTATATATTAAAGCACTCGGGACCATAGTGGTTAAATGCATGGTATGGGACATGCAGGTCTAGTTGCTTCAATATATAGATTAATGGGTTGGGTAGAAGAGAAGTTTTGTTCTTACATTACATTACTCATAAAACATTCACAACATTAATAATATTAATCACTTGAGACCTTGGGCCCCTACTGAGCTTTTAGCTCACCCCTTATTAGTTGTGTTACAGGAGATGAGACAGGAATCTAGTGGCTGACTTGGAAGAAAGAGACTGCTTATAAATAGTTTTAAACTTTTTAAGGAGTTGTTGTCGCTTTCTTTTATGTGTAATGACTATGTAAATTATTTTGTTTAATGAAACGTTTTAGTTCAACCCAGTCACCTGTTATTACCTTTAAGTTACTCTTTTTATTCATGCCCGGAAAAAAAAAAAAAAAAAAATTTAATTTAGGGCGTGACAATAATCCAAGCCTTGTTTATATGTAAACCCCTTAGCTACTAATCAAGCCTTGTGCCGTTCAATGTTGCCCTTGGAGCCTCCCTTAGTCTTGAATACCCACTTATTCCTAATTGGTTTTATGCCACTAGTTCCCTCAATCAAACTCCAAACACCATTTTATGCCATCTAGTTCAATTCTTCTTCTATTGCAGCATACTATAATGTAGCCTATAAACTGTGCATAGCTTCAATAAAAGTTGTAGGGTCATCATTATCACCTATATCATGCTCCACTTCATTGAGGTAAGTCACATAATCACCGGATAATGCAAGTTTTTTTGTTCTTTATGATATTCTCAATTTAATGGTGGAAGGTACAATTTTTGTAGGATTGGAAGAGCCTGCATCATTTTGGTTTGAAGTATACTGTTGAGATGTTGAAGTCTTAAGAATAGGGACAGTGTAGTGGTCTGCAATGGCAGTGGTGGATCCATATGCTGAGCACTTAGTTCTTGAGATTGCTGAGAAAAATGAAGTGTTTGAGGGAATGGTTATTGGCAAAACCAAACGTGTTGCATCATTATTATTCGATTGCTCCATTTCTTCATAGGTATAGTTGTTCCTTTAGTGAGAATTATATAAACCAGAATCTTCCACAAACTTGGCATTGTTGGTTTCAACCAATCTTGTGTGAGAGTGTGGGGAATAAAACCTAAAACCCTTGGATTTCTCAGGATAGCCTACAAAATAACAACTTGTAGTTCTGAGATCCAACTTTTTATCCATTGGATTATACAATCGTACTTCACATTTGCATCCCCAGGTGTGTGCAAGACTTGGTCTTTTACTTGTCCATAATTCAAAAGGTGTTGATTCAACTGCTTTACTTAGCACCCTTTTGAGAATAAAATTTGCAGTCCTAATGGCTTCTCCCCATAAGAATTCTAGAAGTTGTGATTGTGAAAAACATGCTTCTAACCATGTCTTTAAGAGTGCAGTTCCTTCTTTCTGCAACACCATCTTGAGATGGTGTTCCTGGTGTAGTATATTGTGCTACAATCCCTTCTTGCTGCAAGAATAAAGCAAAATGTCCTTTTTGTTGTCCCATTTATGTATACCTTCCAAAATACTCACCTCCCTTATCTAATCCTACTACTTTAATTTGTTTCCCTAGTTGTTTTTCCACTTCTAGTTTATAAATTTTAAAACAATTGAGCACTTGAGATTTTTCAGAGATCAAATACACATAAGTGTACCTAGAGTAGTCATCTATAAAGAGGACAAAGTAACAGTTGCCACAAATCGTCCTTGTTGGAAATGGACCACTAACATCGGTGTGAATGATTTCTAGTAAACTTTGACTTCGAGTGGAACTAGTCTTCTTAACTGATGCAATGGTTTTTCCTTTAAAATAGTCAATGCAAGCTTCAAAATCATCAAAATTTAAATATGCAGTACTCCCATTTTCATTAATCTCATTCTTTCCTTAGCCAAGTATAAACACCAAAGTACATATAAAGTAATGTCTTTGGACAAGAGTAAGCATATATATGTCTCTGGTTTCATAACTCACTATACATCAACTTATAGCTAATCCCAGTAAATAGTTTCTTTGGAAAATACTTTACTTGTTAGTGCTTATAAATTGCTTAATGTTCGTCTTTATTGAAATTCATGAAATCAAAACAGTAGTCTTACCACTTTGGTGATCTCTACTAAATATTTCATGAAATCATTGAACAATACCATTATATCTCTTAATAATATGACAGTGTGTTGCCATAAAAATGTGCAGCAAGTATGATTATATATTTGATAGTGATGAAAGTCCCAAAATAAATAAAAAATTGGACACAACATGATGGAAATGTGTTTATATCACAAACATAACTTAAACCAGATGATATCATCAAATTATGAAGCGGAAAAGAATTGCAAAAGTAAACGTATAATCATAAATGAGTCCAAAATTAAAGTTGACCGACTCTGATACCACATGTAAACCCTTATATGTGGAACTGAAATTTAATCAACTAAATATTTGGACTACATGCTAATATGATGAATTAGTATAATCACACTAATATAAACAAATAAGAACACACAACACTTACTTGCAGAGTTTGCCATAATGATCAGAAAGCAAGCAACGATATAATGCTGATAAAAGTAGGGTTTGCAGTAGTGAGTGTACTACAAAAACTTATGGGGAATAAAGGTTGTGTTCTTCTCTTCTCTGGGACTCGAATACGTTCTACAAACGATGGGGAATGTATATATTGAACTGGTGTCTGAGAAGAGAGACCATGCAGCAGTTTTATCGCACAAAACCATAACTGTTCCATCCATCGTGGGTGCAATTATGTCACGATGAGTAGAGTTTGTAACCTACTCATCCTCTTGAATTTATGCAGTAGTGACTTCCCTTTTAAGTGTTTTATCATGATTAAAACACATATAATAAGTCCATAAATAATATAAGTCCATTAGGTTTTCATAACATATACAATAACATGGTTTTGTTACAATTCATATTATCAAAAAAATCTTACAGAATATACCCAAACTTCCATACCCAAATCCGTTCCATTCGGGCGATTGTCCATGGTTATCGAGTTTATCGGTTAGAATTGCCATCCCTAGCCTCATTCATCCAATTAAGTACTGCATGGATGCATGCTAAGCTAGCAACGCGTATAAAAATATGAGCTGCAAGTGATGTAGTATTATGCTTTTTTAATATTTCTTGATATTCTACACACCACTAACATTTGATAAAAAAATATTAAAAAATTAAAAGAATGTGGAGAAAGTAATTTAGAATGTGTGAATATAATCTCTCATTCATATATTATTATTTTAGGAATCACATTCTATCTTTATTACAAATACAAAATGTCATTGCCCATCATCATCATATTTGTTTATGTCCTTGCGCAATTGATTATGTATGTGAACTTACCATAGTTTATGCTGAAATTGAATCTGACATATACATAATCAATTGAACCAGATCATTCCCTTCATCAAGAATGTACCAGGAAGGTTTTGGGCTGAAGATATGAGAACTGCAGCTCATGTGATCAACAGGCTTCCTCAACCAAGGTTTGAATTTGTTTCACCCTTTGAGAAACTGTGGGATACAATTAGCTATTTTCGAATATTTGGTTGTGTGTGCTACATATTTGTTCCAAGTTATCCATATAGCAAGTTTGACAAGAAGGCATATTCAGATGTATCTTTGTGAGATACGACAATCAGAGAAAAGAGTAAAAATGTTGTGATTCTACGACTAGAAGATGTTACACATCACGAATCATTGACTGGAAAATTGGTTTGTCATAGATTTGGTCGACTTCAGTTTGTTAAGGTTGCATCTGTTACTGTGTTCTTGTTCCTCAAATCTCTATATTTCAGTTTTTGAAAGAAAAAAAGGAAGTTTTCTCCTTTGCTTTTTGGAGCTGAATATTGAATATATAAGCTTTAGAGTTAAGTTGCCTTTTGTTTTGGATATTGAATATATAAGCTTTATGAATCCAATGAGACGCGGCTCTCCGACGAGTGTACCAGTTGCTTGGTGGTTGTGTTGTTTAAAAGGATAAAAGAAGTTTCATAGGCTTGGCTTGGTGGTTGTGGTTTACTTGCTTTACAAGTTAACTCATTTAGCATTTTTTTTACCTTCATGACGATCCAAATTGATTTGTAGTAAAAACATAGCCATGTTTAATCTTCGATAGAAGCTCGGGCAAATACACAAAGCCAATACAAGAAAATGGGGAAGCGCACACACAACGAGAGCATTGGATCAGTTTAGTACTACCATGAAACCTAGAAATATGAAGGCTATACAGCTTATGGCACTGCATGCAGTATTTCTATCTGTAGTAATGGATGCTTGCTTTTTGATTCAAAAATGATTTCATGCCTCCCAAGGGTGAGACCGGCGGTTTAATGTTTCTACCATATATCTTTAACCCTGACACTCATTTGTGCTCACTGTCTGAAGCATGTTAAAACCATCACTTGTCAAAGAACCATAATAACTTAACTTGTTGCAAAAAATCAACTTAATGCCTATTAGATAATCATCTGTGCAATTGCCTACAAATGTATTCAAATCCGTTGTACTAAATAAAATTGCAGAAGTACATTGTTTCAACAAGGAATACCATCTTTCCAGACCTTTTTCTTGGACAGAGAAACGAATAGGATGGATGGCTGAACGAAACAGCTGGCTTCACCAAAATCGAAAGGAGGATCTGGTTGGGACTGCGACTCCTTTCGAAAGGAAGTGGGGCAGAGAGGGCGAGCGGGAGATATATTCCGCCGTGAGGGCGACCCCTACAAATCTATCACAAAGCGATAGATATAACAGATTTGTATTAGCGAATTCCAAACGGTCACGGCCGAATAGTGCGGCCATATAAAATCATCGCAGAAGCGAGATCACATAGAGGTAATTGTTTGCATGCTAGACCATATAACTCATCGCTCAAATCGAAAACCAAATTCGGCCATCATTGCGGCGAGGCTACAACACACACTAGGCAAGACAATAGAACTAGACAAAACTAAACTAAACTACTCCGAGAAGGGAACCGCAGCACGGCACAATCCGATGGACGGATAGGAGAACTCAGGCAAAGGCAACCATTGTGACACTGCACAAACGGGATCAGCAAAATCCACAAGTCAAACAAAGCAGCGGAGCTGCAAACATTTTTTAGATCTGAAAAATTCCAATGGGGCAACCACCAAAACATAGTGGCCCAGGCGGTGGAACCGTCAGATTTGCTCGCCCAAGGCAATGCAATACTCGACCAATGTGGCGCTGCAACAAATCTGAGAGCAGAGGCAGCGCATCTTAAGAAAAAGTCGAACAGGGAATCATTATACCGAATCAGTTTGCAGAACTGGCTTCAACCCACCAACAGCCCCAATCAAGGAAGAAACCTTGAGAAGGACAGAACCCGAATCTGGGTAGGAGGTGTGAAGCCATGAACAACCGAACACAACGGTGGGAAGGGGAAAGGGTGTGGCCGGAGCACAGAGATTCAGAGAGAATGTCGTTTTCATTTTTGGATCCGAGGTCGGCGATTTTGACCCGGAACACATCGAATCAGATCAGCACTGGACCAAGTGGCATGCCGCGAAGCCTTGGCCTCCGGTGACCACGCAACATTATTCGTCACCGGACATGGCAGGAGGATGACGGTGGTCGGTGGAGGTAACAAAATGTAGAAACACTGAGAGATGAGGAAAAGGAGGCGGCAGAGCAGATGGGAGGAGAGGGCTGAGGGAAGAACGGAAAGAAAGGAAGGAGAAAAGGAAGGAGAAAGGGGTGGGCTGCCACCGGCCCCAAGCCATAGCACATGGCAGTTTGAGGTTCGGGTTTGTTTGTGAGGGTAAGGGGCGAGATGGAGTCTATCTGGTTTAATAGTAAAGCTAATGCTACGACATATTTTAATGGCACCTTTACGTAAAAGTAATCGGAATCAAAATGCAAAATTGAATTCCGATTACGGATATTCCATTTGTTACCAAATATTAGAAAATCAATTGGTGGGACCACGCGAATTGAGAATCCAACTCCAAAATTCCTACATTTAAGTAGGAATTGAATTTTGGGTTGTTGGGGGAATCGGAATGGATGAACTTACCGCCCGCCGTATGCCTAGAGCGTGCGAGTGTGAAATTGGGGCGCTGCCGCTTAAGCGCTTACCGACCGAGTTTTGAAGTTTTCTCAAGATTGGTGGTCTTCTGCATCATCTTTCTGATTTTCTGGGGGTCCATTACTGCCCACTCACAGCCCCTTTACCCTCCTCTCATTAATTCCCTGATTCCTCCACCTTCTTCTCCAAAGAAACAAAGATTTCAAAGAACATATTCTTTGCTTTTCGTTTCAGGCTGCCCATCAGGTCCCTTCTTTACAGTCCCTCTTGCTTTTTTTGTTTTGTTATTCGCCCACGGAATGAAAAGTTTTTGGAGCTCCAGAAAGGCCAAGGCAGTGTCCTTTATTCTCTGGTTTCTATTTGTTCTCTGGTTTCTGAAAATTTGAATTCTTTTATTCTGGTGGGTGAATTTAAGAAAAAAAACTTAAGAGATGGAACGTGGGGTTCTTGATAATATAATTAATAGGCTCCTTGAAGTGAGAGGCAAACCAGGGAAGCAAGTGCAGCTTCAGGAGAGTGAGATCAAGCAGCTTTGTGCCGTCTCCAAGGATAATTTTCTGAGGCAGTCTAATCTTTTGGAGCTTGATGCTCCTATCAAGATTTGTGGTATTTTAACCTCAACCCACATCCTCTGTTTTCTCTTATTTTACTGTATAATTTAATATTTTCATTATTTCATTTTACTTTTGCTTTGATCGATTTTGAGGTTGGATCTATAGGTCCGGATCAGTTTGGTTGGCTTGGGTTGCGATCAAATATGGAGATGAATAATGTGTGTTTCCATCTTTGAGTGACTGACAAGAAATCAAGAATGCTAAAATATGTCATAAAACTCAATGGTGAAGAACATCGGTATACATCGTCACTTGAGATATGTTTTCTAAGGCAGTGCTGGAAATAAACAAATGATCAAGTTAGAACCTCTGCTTTTGAAAAATTCAATCTTGAATCCTTTGCTATGGTTAGATGACAAGTGACGGGCCATTTAGTTTATGGGTAAAAATATGTGAATTGTGATCAGTTGCATAGAGTGGGGTCTCATGCGTCCATTATCCTGTAGTTGAGTGGTTTTATTTCATTTCGCGTTTACAATTTGTACCTATGAACAGTAGACAGAAATTGTTGCCTTGGACAATAGATAATAACTTTTGCTTTGAATCTGTGAATTTTTGCTTTTACTTTTGTAAAGTTGTTCGTATCCTAAATTCATCTGCCATAAATCATTTGTAGTGTTCCACTATGAAAACCCAAGTTTCTGCCTGAGAGATATTGTCAAAATGCTTTCTTCTGGGCCAGTTTCACTTCTCTCTAATAACCACAACCCTATAACTAAAGTTCTTTATGTTCTCTAGCTGGTAGTCTAGAGATATTCATCTCTCTAAAAGCAGAGCTCTAGGTCGATGTTATATGTATCCGCACTGAATTTCTGAAATTCCATGCCTGTATCCACAATGTGGTGTAGTTTTTGAAATCTTCTAGCATATAATTGTTATATTTCTGAGATGTAGCATTGAAAGGGATGAATTCTTGATAGTTTTCATCATAATCTATTCATTTATATGTATGTTTACATTTTTCCCTTTAAAAAGGAGAAAACTAATCTGATATCCTCATATGAGTTTCTTTACGTCGCGCAGGTGGTATTCATGGCCAGTATTCAGATCTTCTGAGTCTTTTTGAGTATGGTGGATGGCCCTCTCACTCCAACTATCTGTTTTTAGGGGATTATGTAGATCATGGGAAGCAAAGCCTAGAAACAATATGCCTTCTCCTTGCATATAAAATAAAGTATCCTCAGCATTTTTTCCTTCTGAGGGGTAACCATGAATGTGCTTCAATAAACAGAATATATGGCTTTTATGATGAGTGTAAACAAAGATTCAATGTCAGACTTTGGAAAGAGTTGACAGATTGTTTCAACTGCCTTCCCGTGGCAGCTCCCCTTGAAGACAAAATACTCTGCATGCATGGTGGATTATCACCCGAGTTAAACAATTTAAATCAGATCAACACTTTAAGGCGACCTACTGATGTCCCAGATAGTGGTTTGCTATGTGATCTCCAGTGGTCTGATCCTAGCAAAGACATTGAAGGTTGGGGACTAAATGATAGGGGAATTTCCTTTACCTTCGGTGCTGATAGGGTAACAGAGTTTCTACAGAAGCATGATCTAGATTTGACTTGTCGAGCTCACCAGGTCTGAAATATCTTTTCATTTCAGAATTTTCCAATACCATACAACCAAGAACTCCTTCCACTTATTAGATATTATTTATATTTGCAGGTTGTCAAAGATGGATATGACTTCTTTGCGGATATGAAACTTGTGACAATATTTTCAGCACCTAATTACTGTGGTGAGTTTGACAATGATGGGGCAATGATGAGTGTCGATGAGTCTCTCAAGCGCTCTTTCCAGAAATTTAAGCCTGATAAGAAGCCAAATTAGCTTTGGGAGTAGAGCTGCAGGTCAGCCGGTACTCCATTGAAAGTCAAGGTACCATTCATCTCAAAGTATATAACCATCGTAGCATTTTATATTTTTGTATTTGTTGGAAACAGATGAAAAAGTAGAGAATTATATAGCATTATATAGCAAAATTTCCAACCATCGTCCATGCTGATTTGAGCCTAGAAAAGTATCTGAGTTGGTTAGTTGTGGAGTTTTCTACATATACAGAAGACAGAGGTTATAGATGTAGAGAAACATCTAGGAAGACTTTGAAAGAAACTCTAATAAAACACTCGGATTACTTGAATCCGACAGAAAACATGGGATAAACAAACCATATATTTTAGGCTTTTTACAGCTGTCCCCACTTAGTGGGATAAGGCCTTAATTCAACAGTTTTTGAAAAAGCTAATGAGAGCTCCAATCAAATTTTTGTCTGAGTTAAACCTTGTCGTTGTTGGATTTTATTGGTTAAAAAATGTTCTCCGAAGTATCCGAACTTGGTCTCTAGTTAAGAGTCCGCACCCAGGAGTTTAGAGGGTACCTCAGTTTATGCTCTTTAATTTTCCTTCTTCCTTGTTATGTTGTAGGCTGCATATTTTACTGGATTTTGACATTATATGCGCTTTATTAACTCTCACTTTATACATGAGACTTGTCTTCCATCGTTATAATATGCATTTCTTTACCTCCAGTCGTTTCTTGGTGCAATGGTGTAAGGTATTGCGATGGGAGATTTCTGAAGAAAGCACCTCCCTTAGTTCGGAAAGACGTAACGTGCCAGTTTAACTGTTTTAAGTCCTCTAATTTCTTTCAATACAAAAACACAAATTCGAAACTTCTTTCAGCTACAGAGTGCAGAAGATCTTCCCAGGAACATATGCAATGCCCTTGTATGCAGTGGAGACTAATACTACAAAACCCACTCTATGAAAGAGCAATGGGCAAAAAGTTGGAAAAAGAGTGAGTTTTTTCTTTTTGTGTTTTTGGGTGGGTTGTTTGAGTCTTGCTTTTCATGTAAAATAATAGTTGTAAGACTCAGTCGACAGATGAGTACATTAAAATTACTCAAAGAACGAAATAGTGCCTGTCCTTAGAAGGTCTTATGAGCACTAAATGATAGATGAGGTTATGGTGTGATACAACCACGAATTGTGCCCATGATAGACTCGGATCTAACACCACGTGCACTATGGCTGTTGTGGATTATAAAATGACCACGACCAATGCCCGTTATAAAAGAATTTTCAAAACTAAAAAATAAAAAAGATATTTATTTTTATTTAATCAATATAATCTAATATTTATATTCAAGATTGCACATTTACTACAATATAATAATTACATAAAAAAATCACAATTAAAATCAATGAGCTATGCAAAGAAATATGAAACTATCTATCAAGTATGAAATACTCCATTTACAAACAATTGTCACTTAAAATACTTCACTGTTCCTTGAATCGTATGACAAAGATTCATAATTTGATAACTGCCGCTACCACTGCCCCTTCCTCCTAGTTGAATAATTCACCTAAATACATAATGAAAAATAAGTCGATCAAATGATTACTTCTAAGAAAACAGATGCTTAACAATTTGGTATATAACAAGATTGAATCTGAGACTGATTGAGAAAAAAGCATATTCTCTATCTCTACCACAAAAATTTTCTAAGATTTATGAAGGCAACACCACTTCCTTGCAGCAACTACCAACATTAGAACAAACACAACTGTAAGTGCCATCTCCATGACTTCACCCAACATCTATGATGCATCACCTTACAGTCATCTTATTCTAACACATAGTATTTAAGAATTTCATCATGCAGCCATAGTCTGACATCATTAAATTTGCAACATCAAAGATGTTAATCATAAGGATAATGAAATTAAGCACTTACGTCTTCGAGCTGCTACTCCAGCACTGTTTAGGCTCCGCTCCTCAATGTAAACTTGCCTTCCAACTAAATGAATTGGAGATGCCTACAAGGAACGGGGAAACACACACTTTCAGGCCATGCACAGATCATCACTTTATAAAAATAATGCTTTTATGGAGGCCTGATAAAGTACTAAAATGTGCTAAACATCAAACTACAACGGCAATGGACCAGCAATCCACAAGATACACCCAAAAAAGGAAAACACTACAATCAAAGCTATATTGTATTCTAATATTATGCCCCAAAGACAACATAACCTCCTAATAAAGGTAACCGACTGAAGAAACAACAGGCCATCAATCCACGTTAACTGAAAAATAATGGAATGATCTTTAATTCTCGATACCTAATCCCATAGAGATTGTCTAATAACTGACCATAGTCAACAAAATATCCAAATAACACTTAACATTGAAATATTCAAGCATTCATCTGCAACCAAATTACCTTAAAAGTGCCACAACACCAAACCCCACACATATTTAAGTATACAAGTACAACTTACAAGCACAAACCCAAAAAATTATAACAAAGCAAATACGAAGGCAGATAGTTCATCCATGTTGACAATAGTGCAAGTATGGGAACTCTCTAACAATTGAATACCCAAAGACAAATGCAGTATGCCTTAAGAATCTGCAATAAATGCATAACTATATATGAGAACTGACAGGATTTTCAACAAATAACAGGAAATTTGCCTGAATCCAATGAACATTTTGAAACGAAAGAAAAAAAAAAAAAAAAAAAACTCATGAAAAGGGTTTAAAAATTTTCAGTTTTAACGAAAATGACAAAAATGTGTTGTAAGTGAATAGTATCAGGATTGACTTTTTAGAGTAAAAATGTGGTTTTTCGTTAAAGTGAACAATACCGAGAGTTTTTTTATTAAAGTTCCCAAGAAAAAAACTTGATCAACAACTTATCACAAAAAAATAAAACCTTGATTGCATTGTGAACGCCAGCAATGCCTTCATATTTAACAAAAGCGTAGTAGACTTCCTGCATGCACCAATTTCTACTTTAGCTCCGATCTAGTTCATAGTTTTAGAGACAATAGCACCTTGCCAACCCTCATCATGTATAATTTGACTGAAGTTTTTAAACTCCTCCTCAATCTCATCTTCAGTTACCGTAGGACGCAAATTTCTTATATTGGTTGTGCATAGCACTTTCAAGGGATAAATACCAAAACCTAGATTTTGAATTTCTAATAAGTGATGAACAAAAGAAATTCAGATTTTCGAAATTAAATAATTGGTGAGTAGAGCGAGAGTGAGATTCCTAACCATACGAGAAGAACTTGAATGAAAGGAAAACATATCAGATTTAGAAATCGAAATACTATCAACTCGGAAATTAAGAATCACGGACAACAACTTCGAATTATCGCTACGATTATTCATAATTTTAAAAATTAATTAAAAAAATTAGAGAAATTGAGAAAATGGAGGACCTGGTCATGGCCAATCGAACCATGGGTGGACGACCTCGGCGAAGAGAATGTAGCACCATTATTGCATTCGCTCTTCCAGTTGAACCGCCTTAATTTTCGGAGCGACACGGCGGAGTGGAAGGGATGGTCGCCGCTGTTGCGGTGAGGCTGAGGAGGAGAGCGCATGGAGGTTGTGTTAGGGTTGATTTGTTGGGTTGCTAATGCTGTTGCAGGAGGAGAGTGGGAGGTTTTTGAGTGGGCGACACCAGGAGGGGAAGAAATTGGCGGTCGTGGTGAGGTGAGGAGTCATGGATGGAGAGAGGCGATGAGTGGAGAGAAGATAAAAAATGAGAGAAAAGTTTGAGAGAGAGAGAGGTAAAGTATGATTTGGAGAAGCAATATGCAGAAGTGCATATAACGCTCTCCATCTGAGAAACAAAATATGATTCTGCTTCAATGCTAATCGAAAAGTTGTTTTGGATAACGAAGTTCATCACCGGACTTGTAAATGTTCCTACTATTGAATCACTAATGATATTATTAGGTGATTAAAATGGGGCATTAGCTCAATCCAAGGAACTACGATTTCATGAATCATCAAAACAAAAATAAAAAAGCATCGTTAATTACAAGATTATAGAATCTGTGAAGAAGAAGGTGGTTTAGGTTTAAGAGTTAATGCTGCATAAAATGTAGTGAACCTAATCACTGATTAAGGCGATAACATAGAAGCTGCTTGATTGACATCTAGATAGTTTTGGTGTGCGTCATTGTGAGCATTAGCTTTTGGGCAAGTGCGAGATTGTTGAAGTTGTGTGCTAAAAACCAATTTTGCAATATTAGATATTATGTAACAACTTCATGTTAATTCATTAATAAAGTGCAAGATTAATTCATTCATGAGTTTGATTTTATAATATGGAGATAATATACTATGGATGCGTCCATAATTTAAGGTATGGAAGCAATGAGGTTAGGGTAGGGAGACTTGTATTCCATAGTCACTTAATTCTTAAATAAAATTCCTAGCCATTTGGAAAGTCAATTGGACATTGACTATTAGAAAAGGCCGATGTATATCACATTAAATTAGCATGATCTCCTTCTACGTGTGTTGGACACGGGATGAATATACAGGTGCTTGTCTATTGAACAAGTTCATTGAACAATGACCGCCCAAGAAGCTTAAATGTATGAATGTTTACCACATGTCACACGTTAGAAATTTTCTGGTTGTAGTATGCAAATAGTTCTCATATCTGAAGCATTTTAGATATCCTATGCTTAACTTTGATTTCCCCTCAAAGCCCTCACTACTTCCCAATAATATGATACTCATGTTCATATGTATGAGTATGGAGATACATGAACGCCAATAAGGATTTGTCACCTTCTAGTAATTTTTCAATAGAAGCAGGGATCCCTTGAAGCCACTTAAAGGTCAATCTCAAAAATCTCTAGCTAGAGTAACTATTTATCAAGCTATGTTTGTAAGAACTGCTTGAACAGATATATCATGGTGATCATGGATATCTATATGTGATTTAACATAATTTCATATCACATAAATCTTGATTGGGATATGGATGATTGAAAAATTGAATAGCATTATAACTAGAATCAAGGTTAGAAAAAGTATCATGATTACTTCATGTATACTTCTACTAATCCATCCAGAAAGCCATAAAATGTTGCTAAGTGACACTCATGGCTTGTGGAATTAAATTAATTCATTATCTAATTTCATTGCCCTGCTAAGTCACACACCTATGGTAGTTCTAGCAACGTTAACCAAGATGTTTAGATATAATTAATTGTTAATTATATTGAATTTATTGTTTAGGCCTATTGACAGTGTTTTAAAAATAGGCCTAGGTGCTGGTTGGAGACCGACCGCCCAAAATCAGAAAATGTATTAGGCGGATGCTAGGGGCAATTAGGCAGGTCTGGACGGAGTTATGAAGGTTTGGGTGGGGCTAGGTAGAGGCTAGTAGGCCTAGTTAAGTCGCCACAGTCTGAAAAAAAAAGTGTGAATCTAGAAATTATGTTGCAGGGTTGCAAGGAAGAAGAAGATGGACAAGTGAGGACCACTATCTTCTTTTCTAAGTTAAATGGACTGAATGAGTTTTTTCGGTCCCACCATCCCTGTTTTGGTTAAATGCAATGCCCGGTTTCCTATCACTATTTTATATCCTTTTTTTTCTCACCTAAATCAATCATCGTTTTTTATTTTTTTTATCTATTTTTTGTATTATTTTATACTCTTTTCCCTTTTGAAGACCACATATATTAAATACCCTAAAATAACAGCTTTATAATATATATTATTTTAAAAGAAAAACATAACATTTATATATTATAAAGTAAATTTAATCAATTTTATATCAAATTTACTTAAATCCGTCCAAGTCTCGCCTAGCCACCTAGGCGCTAGGCCCCATCTCGTTGCCCGACTAGCGCCTAACGTTTTTTAGAACCTTACTTATTGGACATGGATTTAATTAAACAATCCCAAGAGGGCAATGAAGTGAGCTTAACGCAAGAGCGAGCCTTGGACAACGACTCTTCTTGAAAACGGGCCAAGCATCGCCCATATCTCCATAGTTCGTCTTTAAATTGATCAACATCGGAAGCAGATTTCTTGGGAGCCATAGCAAAAGTATGGAAGGAAAGTGAAACTTTTTCGTAGAAAATTGGAAATTAGTAACTCGTTCAGAAAAGGGGGAAGAAAGTTTTCAACTTTCCACTACTCTACCTTTTACTTCTCACACGAATTGAGAGGAGGAAGAGTTACAGGGGCAAGTGCAAACCATTCTCAAGAAAGTTATGATTAAGGGAACTTTAACGAAAAGCTCTCGGTACTGTTC